TGGCAGGGGATGAGGAGGGAGGTTTACTATTTTTAATGCCCTCAGCCCCTCAGGAGATGCCTGAGATCTGGCCCCAGGTTGAAATCTGTATGACCTCACTTTAAGAATAGTTCCATGCTGCCTGGCTAGTGGAGAGCAAGGGGCTTTCTCCCCATCATTGCCACAGGGGGAAAGGAGCAAGAGCACTGAACAGTTATACTCTTGGGTTGTACCTTATTCTTCCACTTGGCCTGAGTTTTTATAAAATTTCAATAAATTAATTGTGACAGTATGAATTTGGCTTTTATATATTGCTTCTCAGGGGAATAATGCAGATATAGTAGAGTAGTAGAAAGTCATGGCTTCCTTCCCTAGGGGAGTGAAGGTGCAAGAAGTCCTCTTGGACACAGTGTCCCTGCTAACTATAGTAGCACATTCTACAAGCCAGGACCTAGTACCCACTCCCTTGCCTATTTATAGACTTTTTCAGAAGGTCAGTTGCAGCAGGAGTCTCAGGACAGAGTAATCTGGTCTCAGACCTCCCATATAACTGATGCCCTCCAGACCACCTCTTATTCTGGGGGATCCTTAAGGGAATCTGCAAAGAACTGGCATTTCACGAAGTACCAGAGCCCTCTAGAGGCTCAGATCCTGAGTCAGTAGTTCTACCTTAACTGCCCTTGGTATAGTTTGTTCCTTTCACCCAATGGGCTGGACCAGCTTCCTTGGATTAGTCACATAAGCAGTTGTGACGTCTCAGCTACAGAAGACAGACAGCAATCTCCTTTGGAAATCTCACAGGGAACCTGTCTTCTGATTAGGGTAAATGAATGCCAAACCTACCTCAAGATAAAAAAGATACACAGGATAACATAACCCACTAAGTCCAGGATCTTGCTAGCCAGAATCCTTACCTCATAATAGAGATTGTCCCAGGCCTTATTTAATAGACTCAAGCATTGTTAATAAAAACATTTATTTTGCATTTTATACAGAACAACCTGAAGTCTGCATCATAACTTGACAGTTACCCAGGGGTTTACAGACAGTATTATCCATCTCAACAGCGTGGTTCTGGGGATTTGGGATCCACACAAACACAGGCAGGAGTTGCGAGGGAGGAAGGGGGCACAGCAGGAGTGTATTTTTAATCCTTTCTTGAAAAGAAAAGGCAGTAGAGCGTTCTGAGTCACTGGAAACCTGTGCATATGGGGCTTCTAAAACAAACACTGTACTGTGAGCTCTTGGGGAAGGGGCAGGATAAGAACCCTGATAAATAAAAGGATATTTGCTTGTGGCAGGGGATGAGGAGGGAGGTTTACTATTTTTAATGCCCTCAGCCCCAGTACCTCATATTCAAAGGAGACCATGTCCAATCTCATTTCCCTGTTCAGAAAGAGGTGCTAGTACCCCTGGGATCAGGCCATGAAGATATCATGCTGGTAATTCCCAAGTCCCTGTTCTATAGCCCACAGCATATTAAAGGGGAAAGAAAAAAGGTCAGAGGGTAGTGGCTTGTGTTCCAGAGAAGTAAAAAGCTTAGTTCATATTAAGCACTGATAAAGCCAAATAATGGGAAAGACCACAATATCATACAGTGCTGTATACAACCTGCTGAAAGAGGTCTCTAGTAGGGACCAAGAGGGGAAGGTCCAGAGCAACCTTGGCTTGAGGTGCAGCAGGTATAGAAAATCTGGAAAGAGGTGAATATTCAAGTAACAGGGAATAGAACACTCCCAGATCTTAATTTCAATGGGATAATTTAAAAAAGAGAAATAAAAATCAAACACTGGGTGCCAGTCACAACAAATACCATGGCCTTTACGATCACCTGGTATCATTAAAAACAAACAAACAAAAAAAGCCAAAGCATAACCAATTGGTCTTGCTAGGAAGTGTCTGTGTGCGTGGGAGAGGTTAATGGGGCTTGGTACAGGTGACAATCCAACATGATTCCTATGGAAACAGAAGGGGCAGGGTCCTGGTTTGCTGGCCTATTAAGGGGTGGGCAGAGTAGAACCAAAAGCTCTGCTGAAGTGACTGCAGATTCTCTGCAACCAGCTTTGACCTAGGGAAAGATCTTACTCTGGAGATTGGGTGGGGGCACGGGTAAACCTAACCCGTACCACATGCATTAGTCCTGGTCATCCTATAGTTGATGGGCAACTCATACCAGGCCGGGGAAAGGAGCTGGTTAGGGAAAAAGGGGTTACTTTTCATCTTTTAAAATCTTAATTAATATCTTAACCTCAAACTTATCATCAGTGCCTCAGATACAATTTAATCTTAAGTCTTTAGAAGCCCCCTGAAACAAAATTATACTTTTTTTTTTCTTTAAGATCCCTCACTTTCTGGTAGCTAGTTTCCTCCCAGTCTTCAGTTTCACCCTGACTTAGAGTCCACAAACCTCATCAGACCGTCTGTGCTCATGGACTTGGGCCTCTCTAGAGGGAAGCCTAGGGCTCGGCTCCAGATGAGCTGTGCTAATACACCCAGTGCCCGTGATACCCCAAACAGGACTGTGTAGTAATTCATCTCCGTCATGCCATAGTACTGTAAGGTAAAAGAGAAAAAAGTTTTGTTAAAGGCCCACAGGTGGTGGCATGTACAAGTCCAGATTGATTAAAAACCCTAACCCAGTTAGCCTTAAATAGAAACGACTGGGAAAAGTATAGCAACTGGGTTCTGAAAGGAAAGCACCCCTTTCCTCTAGCCCACACCTCCCCCACCATAGGCAACTTTAACAAAAGGGTAAGGAAAGAGGTGTGAGAGTCCTTGCTCTGACTAGGGAGTTGATTTTGTGCATGGCAGAGAACAGTAAGGTTTGGTATAAATTAGAGGAAAGCAGGGAAAGGAGGACTCACCTGGAGCAGTACCCCACTATGAGCATCTACATTGGGCCAAGGATTCTTGGCCTTGCCCTGCTCTAGGAGGACATTGGGCACAATCTTGTACAGCTGAGCAACCAGCTTAAACATGGGGTCCTGAGGCAGGTGTTTCAGAGCAAACTCTCGTTGACAGGTATATCGTGGATCAGTCTTCCTTAGTACTGCATGGCCATAGCCTGGGACAACCTGCAAAGGATGGGGGGGAAAACCAGTTGTATTCTCAGGTAGAAATTTTTGTCTTTTCTGCATTCTTTAGGGTAGACAAATGGAAAAAAAATCTCCTCTAATTTAGGGAGTTATCTCATTCTTTTCTCCTTCATTCTTCCAAATTATAGAACTTGAGTCTTGGCTTCTTTCCTAGTTGCTAAGCATCTCTGCTTACCCGTCCTGAGTTGAGTGTGTTCCAGATATAGTCTCGTAACTTCTCATCTGACACATCTTTGCCAACTTCCTTCTGTAGTTGTGTCAGCCACACAAGTACTTCCTGTGGGTAAGGTTTGGAGAATAAAAGAGTGTCAATGCATATGCCAGGAGAGAACGCCATGATCAGAAACAAAGCATGGGAGTAAGAAAAACACGGAGCAGGAGAAGAAAAAGAACAGTCTTACCTGATTTGCCAGTCCATGCAGGGGCCCTGCCAGCCCATTCATGGCTGCTGCGAAGGACAAGTAGGGGTCTGAAAGGGCACTGCCCACCAAGTGGCTGGTATGGGCACTTACATTGCCACCCTCATGGTCACTGTGGGGAAGTAAGAAAGGAGAATCAAGGCCAAGAGAAAGGAGAAAAAAGGGGCAGATTATTGAAACACAGTCCTTGCTGTTCTCTTATTGTCACATACTAGCCTAGCTATGGATTCACACCAGCCTATAGCTAGTCACTTATAAATAAGCTCTTGTAAGAGATGTCCCAATCTTATTATCAGCCTTTGTTCACTAATCCACAGGGCTGGAGAGGTTACTGCTTGATGATGCCTGGCCTGCGTACCAAGCTCCCTGACTCTCACTGCAGCTTTAACAGCAATGGCCAGAAGAGGGAGCTCCGGGAAAGCCAAAGGACCTGTCTAATGTGAGCAGCTAGTACCTTTTCCTAGCCAGAAGCACTATCTTACTCTTAGCGTGGTTATGGTAATTTTTCTAGACCTCCTGACCTTCTTTACCAGACCCCGTTCTTGCCTTGTACCATCCCATACGCTGTGTTTCCATCTCCTTGCTGCCTACCACCTGTTAAGGAGTTTGGGGTTTTTTTGGCATGTTGCATGACATACAGGATCTTAATTCCCCGACCAGGGATGGAACCCACGCCCCCCTGCAGTGGAAGCGCAGAGTCTTAACTACTACTGCCAGGGAAGTCCCAAGGAGTTTTTCTTAATATTCACCACCAATCCAGGCACCTGGTGGCTATGGTTGCTGGGTCTCCCTCACCTGTGGATGGTGAGGTACAAGCGCATGAGCTCCGTGAACTGAGCGTCAGTATAGCCTAACATGTTGGTGAAATTGTGGGACCAGTCCAGCTTAGAATCAATGGCCCCAATACTGCTGCCCTCTCGATAGAGATTCCGGTAGATCTTTGCTGCAACACAAGGTAGCTTTGCAATCAGATCCATACAGTCTTCATAAATCAACTGATGGGGAGAAGAGGAAAATGGAGAAAAAAAGAAGAGGAATTATCAACAAGGAAGAATTAGGCAGGGATGGTGTTTGTTCTCTATGGACTGGGCTATTTGGAGTGATGATTCTATGCTGGGTGATTATAAATGGAGTATAACAACAATGACCATTTAACTGAATAACTGTTATGACCCAGGCACCGCATTAAGGGATTTATACAAACTATCTCATGTATATTAAAACATTATTCCCAATTTTTTCCCATTCTACAAAGTATATAATGACCTCCATTTTAAAAGGAGAACTGAGGCTCAGAGCATTCAGTTAAATGCCAAAGTCAGATTTTGAACCCTTATATGTTTAACCATGATCTTTTCCACTACATGACATTGCATTCAAAGAATGTGCTACGACACTAGGTTTTTAATAATTCTATGTTCCATCTTTCAAAGAAAATTCACCATATATGCCAAGGGTCAAACAGTGGCATTCAATTGTTAGTTATGAACAAAGGCTTCCATTTTTTAAGCACTTACTATATAACAGGTACTGTGCTAGGTATATTATTTTCATTTTTTTCTTTTCTTACAATAGTCCTGTAAGGTAACATAGCCTTCATTTGTAAAAACTGGGGCACAAGGTTACCCACTCAGCTAATAAGCATCATCTAGCTTAAATAATTATTAACTCATGGCCATGCTTGTTTCATCTATATCCTTACTTTCCCCTCTCATCTCCCAAATTATTTTGAGTGAATCCCAGATATCATATATAACATGTAAGTATTTAAGCATGTATCTCTAAAAGATAAAGGTCCTTCATAATCAAAATCACAAAACCATTATCCTACTGAAAAGAATTTAACAATTCTTCAATATCATTAACTATCTACTCAGTATTCAAGTCCCCCCCCACCTCATTCATTTATTATAAAGCTCCCCCTCATTTGTCTGTTTCACTGAAAATAGCCCACATTGCAATTGTATGACATGTCTCTGAAGTCTTTTTAATTAATTTAAGTTCCCTCTTATGCTGTCCTTTTTTTACTTTGCAGTTTATTTGTGGAAAATCAGATCATTTGTCCTGTAGAATTTCCCACAGTTTAGATTTTGCTAGTTATATACCTGTGATGTCATTTAACATGTCCCTCTATCCACTGTATTTCCGACAGACTGATAGAGCTAGAGGTTTGAGCAGATTCATGTTCAATTTCTTTAGCAAGACTTTTTTTTTTTTTTTTTTTTTTTTGCGGTACGCGGGCCTCTCACTGTTGTGGCCTCTCCCGTTGCGGAGCACAGACTCTGGACGCGCAGGCTCAGCGGCCATGGCTCACGGGCCTAGCCGCTCCGCGGCATGTGGGATCTTCCCGGACTGGGGCACGAACCCGTGTCCCCTGCATCGGCAGGCGGACTCTCAACCACTGCGCCAACCAGGGAAGCCCAGCAAGACTTTTTGATGAATAGTGCTGTGTTCATTTATTAAGAGAAACATATAATATCTGGTTGTCTTTTTGTGATGTTAATAGCGTGCTCAACTTTTATGTCTCAATTTTATCTTCTCATAGGGATTTTCTTTTAGGGAGGGCGACAGGGTTTGAGTAGTTTTTGGTTTTCTTGGCCACGCTGTGAGGCTTGTGCGATCTTAGTTCCCAGACCAGGGATCAAACTCGTGCCCCCTGCAGTGGAAGGGAAGCATGGAGTGCTAACCAGTGGACCGCCATGGAATTCCCAAGTTTTTTCTTTTTCTTTCTTTTTTTTTTTTTTTTTTTGCGGTACCCGGGCCTCTCACTGTTGTGGCCTCTCCCGCTGTGGAGCACAGGTTCCGGACGCACAGGCTCAGCGGCCATGGCTCACGGGCCTAGCCGCTCCGCAGCATGTGTGATCTTCCCGGACCAGAGCACGAACCTGTGTCCCCTGCATCGGCAGGTGGACTCTCAACCACTGTGCCACCAGGGAAGCCCCCAAGTTTTTTCTTTTAATAACAAAAAAATTCAGGAATTCCCTGGCGGTCCAGTGGTTAGGACTCGGTGCTTTCACTGCCAGGGCCTGGGTTCAATTCCTGGTTGGGAAAGATCCTGCAAGCCATGAGATGCGGCCAAAAAAAACCCACAAAACAAAACAATAAAAATTTCTACTTTCAGTCACAGTACATTGAAAGCATGGAGAAAATACTTGCTGAATGACATTACATTGTGCTGTCCTATCAAGCTAACTGGCTAAATGTTCCTGTAAGAAGTCATCAGGTTTTGGTAGTTTTGTTGGAACAAAGAACAAAATCTATAATAACTAGCCTAAATGAGATAATCTCTGTGAAGTCATCTATTACTCAAGCACTCAGTGAATTTTGTCAATGCCACCAAGATTCAGTGAGAATACTGCCAAAATTAAAAAGCTACTTGAAGCAAGAAGTACTTAGCTAACACTTGCAAGTTCTCAGGAGATTATTTACATGATAATCATACTATTAACCATACCTTCTTGCAGATTCACATCCCCCAAGGAAGTAGGTTATTTCCAGAAGCCTGCATCAAGGATATGCAGTTCTAAGGGACCTGGATTCATTAGCAGAATGCCAAGAACAAGATCCTGGGCTAGGCAAACTGTTATCTGTGGAGTATGTACTAACTTTCAAAATCATTTGTAAAGTATGAATGACCACAACATAAAGAAACTACAAAAAGAGGATTGTTTCAACTTCTACCACTGAGGATGAAGTTTATAAAGCAGCAAGTATCAGACCAGGTATGACAGTGTGGGATCTTTACCCTGCTTTTTGTAGTGGTAAAGCTGTACAGTCAAGAGGTTAAATAAAGAAACAAACACACTGACAGATGAATGCCTCCTTATTTCTTCTTCTTCTTCTTTTTTTTTTTTTTTTTTTTTTTTGTTACGCGGGCCTCTCACTGTTGTGGCCTCTCCCGTTGCGGAGCACAGGCTCCGGACGCACAGGCTCAGCGGCCATGGCTCACGGGCCCAGCCGCTCCGCGGCATGTGGGATCTTCCCGGATCGGGGCATGAACCCGTGTCCCCTGCATCGGCAGGCGGACTCTCAACCACTGCGCCACCAGGGAAGCCCCCTTATTTCTTCTTTAATAAACTAAGACTGAGGTGCTATTTAGCTACTGGTACTAACTCATTCTTCATCTTTAAACCCTCAGAAAAAAAGACAAATCACGCCACCATCACAACTGCCTGGAATAAAGGTAACAAAACTGACCATAATCATCATTGTGAGCCAGCATCTCTAGTGCTAGAGAAATTCTGACCAAGTATTTAGCTATCAGTCATTTAAAAAAAAATCTTTATTGGAGTATAGTTGACTTACAGTGTTGTGTCAGCTATCAGTCATTATAAAGAAGACACAGAAAAAGAGGAGATACAGTATTAATGGTGAAGAGACCCTAGAGTGAAGCAAACTCAAGTCTCAATCTGCTGTCTACCAGTTACTAGCTGCATGACCCTAGGCAAGCTACTTATTTTCTCTAATCTTCAGCTTTCCCATTCAGTAAAATGACATCAGTGACATCTACCTCATGGGGCTGTTCTGATGATTAAATCAGATAATGAATATAAAACATTTAAGCTAATATTTGGCATGTTTTCAAGAGTTGTTAGGTGTTGGGATGATGATTTTATTATAGATTAAACAGCTTCAAAACCTACATATACTGTTCATATGCCTTACTAGAAAAACCTCATCTGTCAGCTACTTTGCAGATTTTACCCAATTCAACAATATCTTAAGGCTACTTCATAATTAAACAGCTGGTGCATCAGAGTAATCTCCTAGTCACGAGTGAAGTTAAGTCAATTAGTAAATTAGTAATAGATGTAACTTTTTCACCTCAATAGATTACACTATTTATCTAAAGTCATGTAAACTGTTACGGAAGGAAAGTTGTAGGAAGATCATCCTCTTGAGGTGTATGTAAAAAACAGCATGAACTGATGATTCTAGTAGAGAATTAGATCACATATACTCCTTAACATAAATTTTTAAACAGAAATAACCAGCTGAATGCTGTCATGTAATTCTACTAAAGTAACATGGTTAAATTAACCAAGACAGAGAACTAAACTGAAATAGCATGTCTGATCTTTGAGAGAGAGAGGATATGGCAGCAAAAGAGCACCAAGCTCCACTAAAGCAGTTACTGGTGCTAATTTTTGTTCAGTGTGAACTTATTAGATGCACATCCTGAGGCTGACAGATATATCAGTATTGCTTAGAAACACTCTCCAGGTTGGCAAAGTCCTGAAATACAATGTTCACCTCAAGACAGCCACCCTCAGATGATATCTCACAAAGAGGTGGCAGGACAACCAATCAATGGCTGTACACTGAAATGGAGGCAATAGCAAGCAGAGAAGAACAAGATTCATTTTCCTGACTCAATAAAGGACAGTGTGAAGCAATGCAGCATGTTTGGATGCCTGGGAAATATCTTACAGGTATTTATTGCAAGGTATGAAGAACTCTACAACAGGCAACACAACAGCACTGTAAGAAGTAACAGGCACTTCTGAGTGGTCAATTTCTAAAAGACAAGTTTTAAAATAGAAGAACTGTTGGCCTTGATTTAACCTTTTCTGTTATGGTGACCCACACAGATAACAATTACTTGAACAGTATTTTAAAAAGAAAATGAAAAGCAACATATTCAGTTTATACAACCTTCTGAACCTGCTGATGTGTGACTTTATAAATGCTTGTGAATAGGTTTAGTTTGCATCATTCCTATACCTTCCTCCTCAAAGCCAACCAGACTAGTATCAATTGCAAACTTTCCCTCTTTCCCCCAACAGCAAACACAATTCTCTATACACAGTTGGCACTGAATAAATATTGACCAATCCAATGAAGTGGGATTTGCCAAAACCCCAAGGAGATTTCATCAGACCAGTGGGCCATGCTACTCTGTGCCTTGCCTCATAGTGAACTCTTTGGGGACCTTCTCCTGGTCAAAAATCCTTTAGTGTATCTGCTTTGCAGAAAGGAACTTTTCTGTTCCTATACTACCTGTCTCTAAATAAGAAACAAAAGAAAATGAGATGTCCTTCTGTAAACTTAGCCAGATAAATTGTACTTTACCCAGTGTTTGTGAGTATGTGGGGTATGGAAAGAGGATGGAAGGAATTATGTCCTATGCGCTAGGACAAGGCCCAACAATGTTCTCATACTCTAACCACAGAGTCCGAACTATTAAGATCACATTTCATTTTCAGAGAATAAAGCTCATTTGCTTTTTGGATCCTACTTCCAGGATACTAACCACCCTTCCACTCCTGACAGGTATCTTGAGTGGGTTAGTCCAAACTGTGGCTGACTGGCATTAGTCCTCCTAGCCTCCAGAGTTGCCTTAGCTGCCATTCTTCCAAATTCTCAGGGTTCTCCTTATCTGGGGACTTCCCCGGTGGCGCAGTGGTTAAGAATCCACCTGCCAATGCAGGGGACACGGGTGTGAGCCCTGGTCTGGGAAGATCCCACATGCTGTGGAGCAACTAAGCCCACGTGCCACAACTACTGAGCCTGCGTGCCACAAGTACTGAAGCCCGAGCGCCTAGAGCCCATGCTCCACAACAAGAAGCCACCACAATGAGAAGCCTGTGCACCACAACAAAGAGTAGCCCCTGCTCACTGCAACTAGAGAAACCCCGTGCACAGCAACAAAGACCCAACGCAGAAATAAATGAATGAATGAATGAATGAATGAATGGTTCTCCTTATTTGAAGAGAAGGAGAAGGGACCCTTTGGGGCCAGAGTGAGACTACTCTGCAAAACTTTCCTCGGGGGCTCTGCAGTTAAGTCACATCTTTTTCAATGTTCCAACAGCACAGTGTACACACCTCTATTCCAGCAAGATTACTGAATTGTAGTTTCTTTTTTTAAAAAATAAATTGATTTATTTTATTTATATTCATTTTTGGCTGCACTGGGTCTTCACTGCTGTGCACAGGCTCTCTCTAGCTGCGGCGAGCGGGGGCTACTCTTCATTGTGGTGTGCGGGCTTCTCTGCAGCAGCCTCTCTCGTTGTGGAGCATGGGCTCTAGGCACATGGGCCTCGATAGTTGTGACATGCAGGCTCAGCAGCTGTGGTGCGCAACTCAGTAGTTGTGGCACACAGGCCTAGTTGCTCCGTGGCATGTGGGATCCTCCTGGACCAGGGCTCGAACCCATGTCCCCTGCATTGGCAGGCGGATTCTCAACCGCTGTGCCACCAGGGAAGCCCATAGTTTCTTTTTTATGTGTATATCACCCTAACTAAATCAATAACCTTGGTGATAGAAAGCATGCTTCATTTATCTTTGTAATTCCAAAGACGGATAAAAAGCAAGCCTACAGTAAAATTCTTTTAAATGAGTTTCTGGCATAACTCAGGGTAGTAATTTTCCGAAGGATTCTACATTCCTTTTTCTTCCTTCACACTCAAGTCCTTTGGATCTCCATCAAACATCAATCATCACAGCAAAGTTTCCTACCTCCCAGTACTTGGTTCGGTTGATACCCTCTGCATATGCTCGGGCAAAGTTGCTTTCACTGTTGAGAGCTGTAATGGCTGCACTGAGCTGAGACATGGGGTGTAGATTAGTGGGAAAGTTGTCCAGCATGGTGACCACATGGGAAGGCAGAGCTGCCCTCTTTGCCCACTCTTCTGAGAGCCAAGATACCTGTGAAAGGGAGACATTGTTCAAAACACTAGGCAAGGAAAAAACAAAAAGAAGAGAAATTAAAAAACAATGGGAATTCCCTGGCGGTCTAGTGGTTACGACTCGGCACTCTCACTGCTGGGGGCCCAGGTTCAATTCCGGGGAAATAAGATCTTGCAAGCTGTGCCGTACAGCCAAAATTAAAAAAAAAAAAAAAAAAAAAGACAGTGACCTCTAAGTAAAGAAAATCCAAGAGAATTCAATACAGTCCACGTATACAGCAGAACTCTGCTCTGATTCCTTCCCCTCTATAAACTACCACCCATAACCAGATCAGGATTCAGTGTCTGAGATTAGAAAAAGGCAAAGAAGGAGGTGAATGAGAAGCGCTAGTGTCCTTCTGCTTACCTGTTCCTCTGTTGGGATTTGTCCAGTTACCAGCAGCCAAAATAATCCCTCTGGCAGGGGTTCTTCCCCACCCTTAGCCTTGGGCAGCACTTTCTGGCATTCAGGGATACTGTAGCCTCGAAAACGGATGCCCTTGAGGGAGAAGAGTAAGGATTACAACTCGTAAGTTTGTTAGCCTCAAAGTCACATAATTGACTGATCCCACTTTCATCAGACCTGTCAACAAGTTAGAACTTTTTTTTTTTTTTTTTTTTTGCGGTACGCGGGCCTCTCACTGTTGTGGCCTCTCCCGTTGCGGAGCACAGGCTCTGGACGCGCAGGCTCAGCGGCCATGGCTCACGGGCCCAGCCGCTCCGTGGCATGTGGGATCTTCCCGGACCGGGGCACGAACCCGTGTCCCCTGCATCGGCAGGCGGACTCTCAACTACTGCACCATCAGGGAAGCCCAAGTTAGAACTTTTAAAGAGCAAATCTTTAGGTAACTTACTCCTGCTTTGTACTTTTAGTTTTACTAGTTGATATATTAAAAAGGTAAACTCGCTCTTCAGTTATTCCATATATACCTATTTTCACCTTCCAAAATATACAGGTAGGTGCTTTATTTTGTTCTCCACACCCTTAGTGGTCTAAGCCAGAGGTCCCCAGAACCCCGGTGCTGGTCCACGGCCTGTTAGGAACCAGGCTGCACAGCAGGGGGTGAGCGGCAGGCGAGCGAGTGAAGCTTCACCTGTATTTACAGCCACTCCCCATCACTGGCATTACTGCCTGAGCTCCGCCTCC